TGAAAAACAAACTGAAATTCACAAAGAACAAACAGGATTCACAAAGAATTGAACATACCAAATTTGTTGTATAAAAAGAACAAATAGACAAAGGCACATTCATAAACATCATCTACTATATATAGTATAGCAAGTGCCCCATAAATGATAGTCCATAAAATCACACCCATTGAATATGCCTCTGTGATGTGCGTGTGCTATCAGGGTTGTTAATGAGTTCACATCAAAACCTCCCATCTGTTTTGACCTTTTAACAAACTTTAGTAACAATCCCAGAAATTGATGTTCAGATCATTATCTAGCTGAAACTGTTTCGCAATGATTCACTGCATAATTTGCTTTTAGGGTGCCATGAAAATTAGAGTTCAGCAGATGTTAGTCCACTTCACATTGCTTTAGCTGTTCTGAAAATAAAACTGAAGTTCAACTGAACAAACTGTTGACAAACTGCGTAGCCATGTGTTAGCATTTAGCACGTGTTCTGCCTTTTTCAAGACAGATTAAAAACTTAAAAAAAACAAAAAAATAAGGGGCTATTCCAAATGTATTTTATGTTGTAGAATAAAATGTTATAGTGAAATACTATTGCAATTTAAAATAAAATATTTTAATATATTATAGAATTTAATTTATTTATGTGATGGCAAAGCTGAAATTTCAGCAGTCATTACTCCAGTCTTCCGTGTCACACGAGCCTTCAGAAATAATTCTAGGGCCAGTTTTACTAAACAGGGCAAATTAGCGCGAGAACACAATTCCAAAACAGCGGCGAATTTCTGCGGGTGATTTACTAACGATGCGCAAATGAAAGAACACAGACGCAACATCTCATTTACATATCGGCCAACGCAATATACCAAGTGCAGCATCAATTTGCGTAGTCACAAATAAAGAATAAAGAAATAAAGCAGCACCACAGTACGTTGATAAGAACCGGAGGCCAAAAATGAAGGTTTGCTAGAACTTTTGATAGACCTGGTATTGCGTGACTCCTAGTATAATGGCGAAAATACTAGTAATTTGACGAGCACAAACGTTAGTAAAACGCGTTGTGTGATTCATTTGAATACTCTCCTCCCATAACTTTTGTATCTGAAAGGGAAACTCCTAAAAATGCATAAACAAAGAATTGAACATACCAAATTTGTTGTATAAAAAGAGCAAATAAACAAAGGCACATTCATAAACATCATCTACTATATATAGTATAGCAAGTGCCCCATAAATGATAGTCCATAAAATCACACCCATTGAATATGCCTCTGTGATGTGCGTGTGCTATCAGGGTTGTTAATGAGTTCACATCAAAACCTCCCATCTGTTTTGACCTTTTAACAAACTTTAGTAACAATCCCAGAAATTGATGTTCAGATCATTATCTAGCTGAAACTGTTTCGCAATGATTCACTGCATAATTTGCTTTTAGGGTGCCATGAAAATTAGAGTTCAGCAGATGTTAGTCCACTTCACATTGCTTTAGCTGTTCTGAAAATAAAACTGAAGTTCAACTGAACAAACTGTTGACAAACTGCGTAGCCATGTGTTAGCATTTAGCACGTGTTCTGCCTTTTTCAAGACAGATTAAAAACTTAAAAAAAACAAAAAAATAAGGGGCTATTCCAAATGTATTTTATGTTGTAGAATAAAATGTGACCCTGGACCACAAAATCAATCATAAGGGTACATTTTTTGAAAATGTACATCGTCTGAAAGCTGAATAAATACTGTAAGCTTTCCATTGATGTATGGTTTGTTAGGATAGGACTATATTTGGCCGAGATACAACTATTTGAAAATCTGGAATCTGAGGGTGCAAAAAAAAACAAGAAAAAAATTTCAAATATTGAGAAAATCGCACTTTAAAGTTGTCTGACAAACTGCGTAGCCATGTGTTAGCATTTAGCACGTGTTCTGCCTTTTTCGAGACAGATTAAAAACTTAAAAAAAAACAAAAAAACATAAGGGGCTATTCCAAATGTATTTTATGTTGTAGAATAAAATGTGACCCTGGACCACAAAATCAATCATAAGGGTACATTTTTTGAAAATGTACATCGTCTGAAAGCTGAATAAATACTGTAAGCTTTCCATTGATGTATGGTTTGTTAGGATAGGACTATATTTGGCCGAGATACAACTATTTGAAAATCTGGAATCTGAGGGTGCAAAAAAAAAAAAGAAAAAAATTTCAAATATTGAGAAAATCGCACTTTAAAGTTGTCCAAATTATGTTCTTAGCAATGCATATTACTAATCAAAAATTAAGTTTTGATATATTTACAGTCAGAACTTTACTTAATATCCTAATGATTTTTTGCATAAAAGAAAAATTAATTTTGACCCATACAATGTCTTACTACAAATATACCTGTGCTACTTATGACTGGTTTTGTATTCCAGGGTCACAAATATGAAAATAGATTGGGCTTGTGTTAAATTAACCACTGACCTTATTTCAGGCATTTGACCAGGAAAAAAACAAAACAAAAAAAAAACATTGACTTCAGGATGATGGAACTGGAAGTGCTAAAATGCTAACATGTTTCCGGATTTTTCACCTACAAAAATATGTCATCCCTGCCGCACTCTATTATACAATCCCATTTCCAGGAAAGTTGGGACATGTTATTAAATGCAATAAAATCTACAATCTGCTTCAAAGAAATAAAAGAATAGAAAAGATCTCCAATGTTTTCACTCACCAACTTAATTGTATTTTTTAAATGTAAACAAATGTTGATTTTTAATGGCTGCAACAAACTCCAAAAAAAAGTTGGGAAAGAGGAATATTTACAACTGTGTTACATCACCTTTCATTTTAATATAAATTTTTTATTTGTTATTAATTGAGAATACTAATTGCTCCAGTTTTGTAAGTGTAATTTTCTAGCTTGATACAAGACTTAAGGCTGATTTATACTTCTGTGTCGAAACTACGCCGTAGCCTAATGTGCATCTCTCCAAAAATGTCACAGCGCGTCAATTCTACGCGGATCGCAAGCGCTGTGATTGGTCTGCTAGAACCCCTCCCTCCGTATGTATTGTGTTTTTTTTCCACTTAAATATATTTTAATGTTACACCTTCTTATTTAAAATAAAACAAAGCATATAACAAGTGTCTTATTATTTATTATACAACATAGCATATACATCACTCAGTTGTCCGCGACAAACAATTTTGATCTGCCGTATGTTACCATTCCTTGTGGGAATTGAAAGAATGCCGTCTTTTCCTGTCACGCTGTCACGGCTGATGCTTCTCCGATAAGCTGCTTCTTCTTCGGCTTTTGCCTGACACTGGGTTACACCAGCAACATGCCCGTGGACACTGCAGACTAGTGGTTTACATGTGTAATTGTACGTCGACACGGACAACGACGCAGAAGTATAAATGAAAAGCAACGCATAGCCTACGGCGTAGCTTTGACGCAAAAGTATAAATCAGCCTGTGGTCCTTGTTGCCTTATTCTCTTCATCATGACACAAGACCAGTCAAGCACATCCACTCTGTTGTTGTACATGTGAATGTACATGCCTGAATATTGACCAGGGACTGCCTGGGAAAATATTTTGTTTTGATGGCAGCATATGTCTCAGTACAATCCCAATATATGCCTCAGCCTCAATAGTACCTTCACACATATGCAAGTCACTCTTGCCTTAGGCACTGATCTACTCTCATACAATGACAGATATTGGGTTTTGCACCTGTTGCTGATAAAAGTCTAAATGGTCCCTGTGTCTTTGGCGTGGAGAGCTCAATGACTGTTTTTCCCAAAAACAAGCAGAAATGTGGACTTTCCTGACCACAGAACACATTTCAACTGTCTTTCACACCAGAGAACCTGACAAGCATCTCTGCATAGAAACAATGGGGGGCTAACTTATTTGCAATCTTGCATTGAGAAATTTTATTTTTGAACAGATTCACAATTATCATTGGTAGGTTTACCCAAGAATGACACCATCAACTATTACCAACTTTTCACTTTTATTTTACTTCTGTCCCAACTTTTTTGAGTGTGTTGCATCTATCAAAATCGCAATGTGTTTATATTTACAGAATACAGTAAGGATGGTCAAATAATGTTTAAAGAGTCCCAGATTCTTCACAGATTACTATTGCATTTTACAGCCCTTTTTTGGAAATGGGGTTCTTTAAGTTTGGCACAAAGTGCTAATCCACAACCCATCTTTGCTTGCAAAGACTGACATTGGTAGGTTTACCCAAGAATGACACCATCAACTATTACCAACTTTTCACTTTTATTTTACTTCTGTCCCAACTTTTTTGAGTGTGTTGCATCTATCAAAATCGCAATGTGTTTATATTTACCGAATACAGTAAGGATGGTCAAATAATGTTTAAAGAGTCCCAGATTCTTCACAGATTACTATTGCATTTTACAGCCCTTTTTTGGAAATGGGGTTTTATGTTAATTTAGCTTGATGTGCTTATCAAAATTGGCATGTAGGCATACCTGGAATATTTCCAAATGAATCGAGATCAGAATCAAGTCTGAGAACTTGTGAATCAGAAACAAATTAAATTGTGAAACCTGTGTCAATACCCAGGCTCATTTCAAAAGTTATTAAAGAATACTACTGAATTAAACGAGTGTCCACTTCCAAATACTTCAACTGAAGCTTCTCTAATCATGTGGACAGGGTCAACGGATGGCGTACATTATGTTGATCTTCACATAATATGAATCCAGATGTGCTGAGTGTTTAGGTAACCTGCTCTGAAGTTTCACTTCCCCTTCTCTGTTATGCATTTCATACTGTCCTCATATATATATTTTTTCCTTTTTCATGTCTTTCTGTTTTCCCTCATCTTTTGCGTTTATTTAAAGTCCTTGAGTGTCCTCATCCTACCATTGCGCTGCTCTGCCAGGTGCCTCTGGTCTGGTCTGGTGTGGTAGAGGTGTCTCTTGGTGTGGGTTATTCTCAGATGAGTCTGTGTTTAATGTGGATCTGATCTGTGACGTTGTCAACAGGAGGCTCATAAGATGGTGCACGAAGCAAACCTGAAGCAAGCCACTGCTGAAAAACAACTGAAGGAGGCACTGGGAAAGGTGAGTAATGCTGACACGAGACAGCACTTTCTACATGATTACAAATAAACGATTATTTAAATGATTCATGTAAAATTCTTTACTAAGGTTTGCAGTAGTATTTACTGGTATTTGCACAGTTATTTAACACCCCAAAAAGTATGTCTTAACCCAATTTGTGCTTGATTCAGGGGCGTTGATAGACTCTGAAAATAGATTTACTGAAGCACGATCGCCAGTAAAATATTACTCATAAATCCTTTTATGTCAATGTAGATTACTGTATACTGATCTGAAAACTCTTTTTATTTTTCTTATAATATTTTAGTGATTAAGTCTTGAGTTTTTTCTATCAGCTGTTTAAAATCACAACTTTAGAAATGGGTTTGCAAAAAGGTCTGAAATTGTTCATGATTAAGTTTGATTCATTCAAACGGTTCACTCACGCTCTGAATCATTTGCAGCTTTTTCTCACACTGAAAGACTCACAGAATATTTTTTAAGACTGAAAACGCTGGAAGAGATTGACCTAAAATCCATTGAAGAAAACAAAACTTAGACTAAGATTAGGAAGCACACGAGTTTGAAATAAACAATATTATAAATATGACTGGATGAACCATGTGTGAAACCTACACACATCTGCCCACTGATTGTACAGGGTTTAAAATGAACTTTCCCCATTTGCCAAATGAGAGTAAAATTATGCTTTGGTGAGCAAACAAAGCTGAGGTGACTTCAGGTTTTTTGGGGGAGGAATGACATGGTTTATGCATAAAATGCATTGTTTAAATTGAAAGAATGCTGGTCATATCCTTAGCTTTTTTTTATTTAACAAAAATGACATGATGAATCACTAGAAAAGATACACTAGAAAAAGCTCAGTGACTCTCATGTGTCCTGTGAGGAAGGTATGAAATAAGAAGATAGGAACTAAAGAAAATAAACTAATAAAACAAAACACACACACATCGGAGGATCACGTCTTTTCTTCATCGTTTTGCGTCTCAGATTTTTAATGCAGAAAACATGTGAATGGCCTCTAATATCTTTATTAATTTTTCAGGGTTTTTAAAATATTTTGTCCATGTTATGTTTTGTAAATACCTGATTTTAAACCCCTGAAATCTCACCGGTCTTTCCTCTTGTATTCAGATTGATGTTCTTCAGGCCGAAGTGGCTGCTTTGAAGACTCTGGTCCTGTCAACCTCTCCCACATCCCCCTGTAAAGAAATGCCCCCCGGACCCAAAGCCCCTTTTAAGAAAGGCCACGCTCGAAACAAGAGCACGAGCAGCGCCATGTTGGGCAGCCAGCAGGAGGTCGCAGTGACGCAGCCCATTGTACGTGAGTGTAAAGAGGTTTGTATCTAGTGGTGAACGTCCATTTGTGTAGCATCACTCCTTCGGAAATTTCACATATATCCCTGGGTTTGTTCCATGTCAGCCATTGATGTCTTATTAATCACAAGCAAATGTATTTTATCTAAAGAGTTCATATGTAGCTGAATCTCCCTACATATCCAGTGCTCTTTTTGACTACACACTGAACTGAATACACTGTCCAAACAGCACATTTAAAAACCAAAAGTGACCAAAGTACTATAAATTGTAACAACATATGAGCAACAGTTATAAAATAAATAACATCTACATTTTAAAGTCCCTATATATTATTACAATAACAGTATATCAGCAAAATAATAAAACAAAGAATAAAACATAAAAATACACCTAAGAACATTCAAAAGCAAGTGCAAGAAGATGGGATCTCATTTGTGATTTAAAAAGACTTATGAAGGACAGTTTCTGATATGAAAAAGTGCATCAGCATGATTGCATTTCTGTTTACCATATTTAATGTAAAAGCATGTATATGTTAATATCATTAAAAGACAAAAACATTTAAATTTTTGCATTTGCCCATAGTAAAAAAAAAAATACAGCTTTTAGTCAGTTCAGTAGCTTATAAAATGTTTCTGAATCAAAGATCACAACATTTCTTGCTTGATTATGTAATTTGGAAATAAGGGCTTGTAGTTATATTCTTCAGGGAACCTAGGTTACGTTAGTAACCGAGTACGTTCCCTTTCAATACTACACTCGTACTGCGTCTTGCTAGACGCATATGGGAACACAGTACAATCATGCTGTGCTAATGTAGTGGAACGACTAAAAGTATCAAACTTCCATAAGCAACCAATGTCCATAGAGAAGTTAAGGTGTAGAGGCATCTCGTAGATGGGGCTCTAGCCTCCGAAATTGTGTTTAGACTCACTCTGGGAGGCTCGAAGGCTTATGAAGGAGAACCTTGTGTGTTTGTTCCCTTACTCACCTGATTACCTGTGGGATCAGAGCGATCGGGGGAAAAACATAAAGAAGGAGGTTGGGCCAATCGTGGGCCAACGCGTCCCTGGTCTTTGAGAAATAAATTGGGCAGTGAGAGTTGTCTTCTGAGGCGAAGAGGTCCACCTCGGCCTCGCCGATGATCTCCCAGATCCTCTGAACCGTCTGCAGAGGAAGCGTCCACTCCCCTGAGGAGACATTGCTCCTTGATAGCATGTCCGCTCCTTGGTTCAATTTGCCTGGTATAGGTGCTGCTCTCAGCGAGCGCAAGTTGAGTTGAGCCCATTCCAGGAGGTGCTCTACCAGAGTGAAGAGATGCTTCGAGGAGGGGCCTCCCCATCGATTTATGTAGGACACCCACCACGGGCCTGTTGTCCGATCGGAGTAGCACATGGTGTCCTTTTAGAACTGGCAGGAAGAACCGACAGGCTCGACATACTGCTAGCATTTCCAGGCAGTTGATGTGGAAGCCTTTTTCCGCCTTCGACCAGTGGCCGAAAGTCGGTATGCCCTTGCACAGCACCCCCCAACCTGAGTTGGAGGCATCTGTCATGACAACTGTCCTTCTGCAAACCATCCCCATGTTCCATCCAGCGGGAGTTCTTCCAGGGGGCCAGGGCTGTTACACAGACCTGACTCACCCTGATCTGCAACCAGCGCTGAAGGTGGCGCATACGAAGCAGACCCAACCGTAGCGCTGGCAATGCCACTGCCATGAGGCCCAGCATCCTTTAAAATGCTTTGAGAGGGCGGGTGGTACCAATCTCGAAGGAGGTTGCCAGCCTCCGTATGGCCAGAGCCTGTTCCGGCATGACTACAGCTCTCATTTGGGCTGAGTCGAAAATTGTTCCCAGGAATGATATTCGCTGGCTGGGGAACAACGAGCGTGCGTTCGGTCGAGCGTGAGATCGGTCAACCCGGTTGCTTATTCCCTGACTCCGCTGTTTCCCTCTCCGAGGCTTGCTGAGAGGGGAGAAACGGGAGAGCAGGGCTGCAGCAGGGCTCTAGCAAGATGCAGTACGAGTGTAGTATCGAAAAGGAACTATCATTGACCTTAAAAGGAAAATAAAACTGTGTCGTCATCATAACAATGATAAGTGACATTGTGTTTTTGACAAATAGGACCTAGTGGTAATGTATATAGGAAAAACAAGATGGGACCTAGAATGGAGCCTTGAGGCACCCCACAAACACTCTATAAGCAGAAGAAGAATTTGAGTCATTTCACAGTTCCACAGAAAAACTTCTGTCCTTTAAATTGGAAGAAAACAGTATAAGGGCATTGCCTCAAATCCCTGCCTAATGAATTAAATGCTCTAAAAGAATTCAATAATCTATAGTGTCAAAGCCTGGTAAGATAATGGAGAACAACTACACAGTTGCAAAAATTGACAGAGAGCAAAAGGTCATTAGATATTTTGAGGTGGACAGATCTGAAATCTGATTAAAATAGACAGCCTTCTCCAGAATTTTAGATATAAAATATAATTTAGAAATTGGCCAATAATTATTTAAAAATAAAGGTTCAAAAATGACTAGGCTTTTTGAGAAGTGTTTGCACCATGCTGTACTTAAAACATAATAGAACTATACCATTCACTAAATTTCTCTTTACAACTGACAAAGACTGGTACAAACAAAACCTAAAAAAAAGAAAACAAAGGAAAACAATATATCCTAAAATGTCCACAAGATGAGAAAGAGAGACTGGTTAAAAATGTAAGTATACACAGCCAGAACTGAGATGTACGTAGACAGTAATGGTCTGTAGGAGAAATTCTTGTTCTAATCGTCTCAATCATACCTGTGAAAAAATGGAAAAGGTTTTCTAGCTTATTAGGGTTGAATCAGGAAAAGTAGTCAAGACAGTTAAGGTCAAGTCAAATGTATTTGTATAGCTCTTTTCATAATACACATCGTTCCAAAGCAGCTTTACAGAAAATCACGATGTTTGTAATATCCTAACATCTATGCCTTACATGGATGTCGCGTTTAGCAGATTGGAGCTGATTAGATTAGAGACATACTTATACAGTATATCTACCTTTACATAAACAGCTGGGTGATAATATAGGTACATTTTGCTATGATATAAACAATCAAGCAGATTTTCTATATAGAATATATGGCTTGACCTGTGCATACTGTATGTATGCAGATAAAGTTGAATATATGCCTGCATGCAAGCTTGCTTATTTTGCTCAAGAGCATTATCTATTTAAGTCCAGGTCATACTAACAAGAAAATTCTAACCACAGCTGCAGTTCAACCACATAACTTTGCTATTGTTGGTTTCAGGAAACACCAAATCATTCATCTCTGTTGCTAATGACAGAACTTGCTATCATTGTTGGCTAACAATGCTTGGGGGAAACGCACCTCTGTTTGACTTTCTTCTGTGAATCACAAAAGAAGATTTAAAAAGATTACATACTGGGCATTGTTTTGAAAAGTGAACTGTGACTGAAGCCACACAGTTTTATGATCTTTTATGAAAGTTTCCTGACCATCTTCCTTTCATCCAACATTGTGGACTTTGAAATTTGTGTTATAATTGTGGATATTAAATAGTACGTGTGCGTTTTTGACAATATGTGTTTGTTTGTTTGTTAGATTGATTCACTGCTCTTCAACGAGTTCAAAGTGTGGAAAGAGGAGCCGACCCTGGAGAGAAGCTGCTCCTTCCTCGAGCGCATTTACAGAGAAGACATCCACCCATGTCTGACGTTTTCTAAGAGTGAGGTATGCTTCTGCTGTCATCCCTCGGTAGAACTAAGTAGCACCTTTTTTCTACTTTATTTTATAAACATTAGTTTCTGTAAATTATTAGCTCCAGTGAGCACGATACGAGTGTGACAGCTCTGGGCTAATAAATGAGATCTCCAGCTGCTCTCTGCTGGTTGAATCTACTCATGAATTGCTAAAAATATGAATGTCAACTGTATGAAACTAGGTTACAAAGCTACACGCTGCTCATAATGTGAAGTAGTTAAGTTAAGGCATATATACTTTACAGTGAAACTGAGGGAAAATATCCTACTTTTACCAAATGCTTTTAATTTTTTTGACATTAGAAATGCTCTGTTTTCATAGTGTTTGTAAAACAATTACTTTATTCAGGGTTCTTAACAAGTCTTACATTTAATTTATAATTGTAAGAGTTCTTAAATTTGGGGAATTGCAATATGAATTAATGTGATTATTAAACTTCAAAAGTCTATGCTTTCATAAACATCAGTGCTGCACATTGAAAGTAAAAATATGGCACAGTTGTGTCCTGGCTCATTGTTTAAGAGCATTTTGATATCAGTGAATACAGTGCATTTATGCCAAGCGATTGCTTATGATCTGCGGTTAATGAATTATAACATTTAATTTATGGTTTCTTTATATTGTAATATGCTGTAGTTGATCATAAGAGTGCATATTTGATCTCTCTCATCTTTTTGAATGAGCAGCTAGAAGTAGTAAAGCATAAACATTTCAAAATAAGAGTTTTCTGGTGTATTTTGGGCTTGGATATAAATAAAAGTACTTTTATGCTTATGGTCTTGAATGTAAATAGATTTTACAGCACAATAATTTTTTAAGACATTATTATAGTATGAGAAAAAACAAAATATCAAAATTAAGTCTTACATTAGTCTTTTGTAAAAACTTAACAGGTAAGCCTGTGCCATATATTGTTGAATAGAACAAAAAAATTGTACAAAAAGCATTGTTTAATAATAACGAAATTGGTATGAAAAAAACTGTTCACGCATGTAACGGAACACTTTTTAAAGAGAGATTTTTGGACCTTTGATCAAAAGCGTAATGCACTACACTGCATGTAACTAATGGAAAAGTTGATAACTGCACTTATGCTGCACAATGGGGCAATTTTGTCTTTAAATTATAAGATTGTATAATTCACATTTTCAAACAGCTTTGATCTAGCACAAAACATTGAGCATATCATTTAAGGTGGCAGAATCAAAATGTATATATTTATGCACATACTCAAGAAGTACATCTTGACCAGCAAAACATACCATTTTAAGGCATATAGACTTTACAGTGAAATTGATGGAAAATATCCTACTTTTACCAAATGCTTTTAATTTTTTTGACATTAGAAATGCTCTGTTTTCATAGTGTTTGTAAAACAATTACTTTATTCAGGGTTCTTAACAAGTCTTAAATTTAATTTATAATTGTAAGAGTTCTTAAATTTGGGGAATTGCAATATGAATTAATGTGATTATTAAACTTCAAAAGTCTATGATTTCATAAACATCAGTGCTGCACATTGAAAGTAAAAATATGGCACAGTTGTGTCCTGGCTCATTGTTTAAGAGCATTTTGATATCAGTGAATACAGTGCATTTATGCCAAGCGATTGCCTATGATCTGCTGTTAATGAATTATAACATTTACTTTATGGTTTCTTTATATTGTAATATGCTGAAGTTGATCATAAGAGTGCATATTTGATCTCTCATCTTTTTGAATGAGCAGCTAGAAGTAGTAAAGCATAAACATTTCAAAATAAGAGTTTTCTGGTGTATTTTGGGCTTGGATATAAATAAAAGTACTTTTATGCTTATGGTCTTGAATGTAAATAGATTTTACAGCACAATAATTTTTTTAAGACATTATTATAGTATGAGAAAAAACAAAATATCAAAATTAAGTCTTACATTAGTCTTTTGTAAAAACTTAACAGGTAAGCCTGTGCCATATATTGTTGAATAGAACAAAAAAATTGTACAAAAAGCATTGTTTAATAATAACGAAATTGGTATGAAAAAAACTGTTCACGCATGTAACGGAACACTTTTTAAAGAGAGATTTTTGGACCTTTGATCAAAAGCTTTGGGTGGGGTAAGGGCTTAACTTGTGGGTAATGATTAAAATGAAGCAGTAATTCATCGTTAAACCAGTTCATTAAAATGACTCATTCAAACTGACTAAGTAAATTGAATCCGGCTTCCAAATGCTATTTGAAAGAGAGAGGGCAGTTTAGGACACTTCTTTAAATGTGTATTTTGTGCATGGCTTATGTATAGTTTGTGTGATCCACAGCTCGGATCAGCAATCCTGGAGTCGGTGGAACAGAACACACTGAGCGTGGAGCCGGTGGGATTCCAGCCTCTGCCGGTGGTCAAAGCATCTGCTGTTGAGTGTGGAGGACCCAAGTGAGTATGGCTGAAATTACAGTCACTTGACACAAAGCCTGTGTATCTATAGTTTGACAGATCTATAAATACTCTATTTCTCTAATGTCGCTGTTTATTTTTATTTCATCGTGCTTAAAAGTGTTGTGTGGATCACGTGTACTGAACAGCCTGCCAGCATGACTTTCTGTCGTCATTCTTTCTTTCTGTATTTGTGTCCTTTTGTTGATTTTGTTCTTGTTCCGATGGGCTTCCTGTGGCAGCAGGATGGCACAGACTCTCGTGTAAGTGAATCGTGATCAGACCTTTAAGTCCCCCTGATCTGACCCGTGCCGCCCTGTCTCCCAATCCTTGTCTTGATTTCCCTAGTGTCTGTTTCAGGGAGTTCATTTCTCAGTGCCTCATATCTATTTTCGTTATTCACCCAAGTGTTAATTTACAGTCCTAAATCGCTCCTCAGATGTCCATCAGGTTTGTAGTATAATACATTTCTAAAAGCTTTCCATCTCTTTTCCGCTGTGCAGGAAATGTGCCCTGTGTGGTCAAACTAAAACCTGCAAGCACAGAATCAAGTTTGGCGACTCCAGCAACTATTATTATGTATCTCCGTTTTGCCGTTATCGGGTGAGTATTGCATTATTGCCTTGTTATAGATTTCACAGCATCTCCTCTGAAATAATTTGAAGGCCACCTATTATTTGGTGTTTAGTGAAAAATGGATGCTTGGGTAGATCGTCATCAGAAAATATTCATATATTTGTCATTTTGTTGTGTTGCAAATTGAAAAGAAAGCATATTTATGTGTTTCAGTGGTTGTAGAATTAATGTTTTAAATATCAAAGTGAACATATTAAAAGTTTAACGTTAATATCAGAAAATATTTGGCAATGTGCTGATGCTTCTAACATCAGACCATCCTACCAAATCAATCATCAATTGCAAAGAAGGGACCTGGAAATCTGCTGTAACATTTCATCTAGATTCACTTTGGTAAAAGTTTTGGCTTTTTTTGGCAAATTTGGTATCTTTGATAAGGTGACTAGATTAAAAACTCATGAAATAATGGGAAAATGGTTGAAGACTGATTTAAGACCAGCGGGAAAAAAAACTCTGAAATAAAATACTGTGGGGTATGTATTTTTTCAAAAACGCTTTAGAAAGCTTGAGTCGGGCCGAGTACCAAAACAAACTTTGTAGCCAATCAGCAGTAAGGGGCGTGTCTACTCATGATGCGGAGGAGAGAGCGCTCAGTGCACAGGACGGACATTAGCCGAGCGACGACAGAAAGATAGAGATGGCGGATAAAAAACAAAAGAGGAAAACGGGACAAAAGAAGGCTTATGATAATGCAAAAAGTAGGACCTATGTAAATATCGGATCAGCTTTCCAGCGCTGAAGAGAACTCAAGGAGCGGGAAGGCCTGCTATCGGACGCTGAGGTTGCTTTGTTTCTTCTCGATAGCCTAGTTCACACTACAGGATTTTAAGCCCGATTTGTTAACGAGCTCGCCAACAGGTCGGGCTGTGATCGGGGAAAATCAGCAGGTGATCGGCGCTCGGCAATCTTTATGTGTGAACTACACAACGACACATCAAAGAGGCTCACTGACGTATCAAACAAATATCTAGCATGCCAAATATCTGGACCGGTCGGCCGACTCGACATCACGTGGTGTCAGGTGTCGTGACGAGCTACAGCCAATGAGAGAGCAAGGCATGGGTTGAGGTCACCGGAAGAAAAACAACAGCAGCAACATGGCCTAAAGAAAAGTTTGGACACAATAAATCAAGCAAACAGCTTGCAGCGCTAATTTCTTCCCGACATCCATTGTCAAATAAACAACTCCTGTTTCACGTGTTGTTTCGCGTGTGTTTTCGTGACAAAACGTGGTTTGTAGAGTCGTTGGGTGAGAGAGTTGTTGTCAGCTTGTTTAGTGTGTAACCCCTGGTTGCGGATCATTTACATAGAGTCACGTAGTGTGAACACCACAATGACTTAAAGACAGACAATCAAGTCATGTAGTCTGAACAGCACAGCGATCTGCCGACGTTTATAGTCGTGTAGTGTGAACTTGGCTTAACACCGTGTCTACACCGGACGAGTATGTATGTGTGGGGCGGAGCTATCACAATAGGGGCGAGACCCTTTTGGGGTAGGGCCGTATTTGTTTTGGTGATTTGAAATATCAACACTGGCTACCAGAAATCACTTACCCCACCTTTAATGAGACCGTAAATGTGACTTGGGCTTGAATGTGAGGGAGGTGTGTCAAAGACTATACCCAAGACGTGTCACTTGTATAGTTTTGAATGGGGGAAAATGCAACGCTTAATATGGCCGCTCAATCGCAGGAAGCCCCGCCTTCTGAATGAAAGAGCCAATCGCTAATCAGTAAAGTCAGCGCATCACTGCAGCTGCCGTTAGAAGTCCCGGTTGCTAAAGAAACAGTCAGCGTTCTGAGACATGCGCACTGGCTGATCTAGCCTGAAAAATATTGCAAAAGAAACAACATTCATGATACAGTTATTGTCAGATTTCTTTGGTGATTTCAAATATGAATTTTAATCGTAAGCTTAGTGAACAGTTTTGGAGAATTTGACGTTTCCCCATTCAAAGTGATAGGAGTTGCACTTGCATGCCCGAGAGGCGTTTCAAAGATGGCCGCCGAGTGACATGACTTGCCTTAAAGGGACTTTGGATGTGTTTCATTCTGGAGAAATTAATCTTCATCAAAAAAAAAAAAAAAATCACATTTGATTTCACCACAAGCCTATATTGGACAAGCGGTTCATAAATGTAATGAAATTTGTGAAAAACAATTTCATTTTGGAAGTTTAACCAATGAATGCATTTTATATACAAATAGATAGCAAAATCTGCAACATTACAAAATCTACATTACTGTGTCTGCCCATGACTTTGTAACTGAGAGAGAAAACTGCCTGCAAGAAATGTCAGAGAAACTAATTTCACCATGTTTGGAGAGGCTCCTCCCAAACCTACATTTAGAAGATAAAGGGTTAGTTCACTCAAAAATGAAAATGCAGTCATTAATTACTCACCCTCATGTCATTCCACACACCTAAGACCTTCGTTCATCTTCAGAACACAAATTACCGTATTGGCCCGAATATAAGACGACCCTGATTATAAGACGACCCCCCTTTTTCCAGATGCTTTTTAAAAAACAAATCTTGTTTTTTCTCAGTAAAACACATTTTGTCTTGAAAAAAGCCTGTTATACCATAATAAAGGTTTAATTATATTGCTTAATTTTTTCACTAATGAAAAATGTCACAAATGTCACTTTTCTTCTCTACCTACATCAGATCACATCTGTCTGCAACTTCTTCACCTACATTCGTTACATCCTCCAAGGACTAGTCAAACAACAAGATGGTAAGCTAATAATTCATCTCTTATAGTCACATCGTTCAAAACTTGATACAACTTTGTTTTAGTTTCACTTACAAGTAAGTTGTTACAGCATGAAATCATTGTGTATTCAACTGAATATGTTATGTAAGGCATTTACCGTTAAATGCGTTATTCAAAATTCAAATACTTTTTTTTTTCTGCTTCTGCTAAAAAGCTACTTTTTGGCTTCTTTGGCCACACAGTTGCAAAGATTTTATTACCAAAACATACAGTATCAAACCATTAACCTTCAACCTACTAAGATATCAGTTTAAGTTACTGATAATTTAAGTGTGCAAACAAGTTAAAATAAAATATTCCATATAGTAATTAAAAATGAAGAAAAAACTAAATTTGTGTAATTGTGTGGTGACAACAAAAACAGATGTAACGTGAAAATGCAAGCTTACTAGTTTTGCATCATTTGAATCTGCTGCAGGAGAGAGGAAGACTTGTTCTGACTGGATCATTGAATCAGCAAGTTGTTGACTGGAGAACAGTTGCAGTCGGATCAGAACAATAAGCCAATGAATCATTCATTGCGATCTGTGAACTGATTCATCAGGTTCATTGAAAAGAATCAGCTCATTTATGAATCGAAGAGGGTGTTCTTTTTTTTTTTTTTGAAATAACGAGGAACAATATGTTTTTATGTAATGTAGCTGACTTAAAAAAAAATACAGTATAATACTTTGGAATGTAGTGAAGATAAAAGTTTCCCAAAATAGAAATACAATTCAAAAAATGACCTTAAGTAAATTAACAAACTAATAATACTTGAATACATTATAAAACACAAGATTTGTTCATGTGACGGTTGTTTGCAACAGTAGCAAATGTAAAAATGCAAAAAAAAAATCGTTCTTATGAAAGTTTCCCTTCTAACACATCATGGCGCTGTGTTTTACCAAGCAGAGCAGATGTTCTGGGAGGTCATGCAGCTACGGAAGGAGATGTCCAACGCCAAGCTGGGGTACTACAAAGACGAACTGTGAACAGAGCCTTCACTGTCATGGGAATGTCGCCGTCTTAACCCGATGGAGTTTACCAGTCCTGTCAGAGTGGCTTCCCAGGGACCACCACACCTCATTATATTAATTGAAACAGAAGGAGAAGATGACACTAAAGCATGAACTGTAGCTGGAGGTTGTGTTCTCTCTGAAGAATCTACAACGAAGGATGAATCACACTCCAATAAATGCGTCTCAACCTCTCTTAGATTGATATGTTCAGTGCTGTAGCTAGCTGTGTGCTGTTACGCTGTTGTGTTTCTATATCTGGAATGTTCTGTGTGTATTTCCTCATGAGTCTCATCTAGCCTCCCTCATTTTGATTTTAGTGCCTTTCTGGAAGCCTGAATAAAGTTGTGCACCTCCAGAGGAGAATTAATGCTTGTGTTTGTCCTCATGAAGCGGTGATCTCGCAGAGCCACAGCATGTGAAGATACATGAAGACTTTCTCTGCTATAAAGGGCAGTTCCCACCAAGGACAATTAATATAATGATATTACTGTAACTATAAAAATGTGATGATCATTCCAATTCTGATTGCCTGTTAGTGTTTTTATTGTTCATGAGCTGGAAAAAGGGACCGTTTTTAAAGGGTTAACTCACACAAAAGTGAAAATTATTTCTCGCCCTCATGTCATTCCAAACCCATATGACTTCAGTAAAACTCTGAAACACAAATGGAGATATTTTTAATGAAACCTTGGCTTGACCAACTTTGAAAGTCTAAGTAACCAAACTGTATATCCAAGAAGGACATAAAAGCTTTGTAAAACAAATCCATATGGATCTGGCAGTTTAATTCAAAACTTACCTTTTTAACTTTTAATCTAAACTATGATTGACACATAGATTTGGTAAACAGAAGCGTATGTATACATTGCAAAGTCTATATAACCTTTTTGTATCTTTTAAGTTTTGGTTACTTGGATTTTGGACTTCTAGCAATCTTTTATTTTGAGGTTAAAAAAAAAAAACCTTTAAAAAATTTTTCCAGGTGATGAATGCTAAAAATACTGAAAGGCAATCTCGATTCACCCAACGGATGACAAAATGCGCTTATAATAAATAGACCATGACTGTTTGTTGGTGTGGATTCCAATATAGTTCATTTTAGTTATCAGTCTTGGTGTGAACAGGCCTTAAATGTGGCTGGCAGGATTTATAATTTAAATTAATTTTATAAAACATCATTCTGTATTCTGGTTGGAAAAGCCATGTAAAAAAAGCCAACAGTCAACTACACTTTTGTTGTTAGTAGCATGGAAATCGTTTATTTAAATTGTGGTTATATTATATACATAAAGCGAGCAAAGAGTGCATTGTTAAGCACTGAAACTTTTTATGCAATGGGATAAGATCAAAATATAATGCTTTAATCAGCACTTTTCATGATTAGTTGATCTCAGCAGCTGTAATAGTAAAACGTAGTAAAAGTTTTCAGAAGAATTCCACATTTAAAACTTATATAATATGCAAAGATGTTAATCAATCTTAGATTGAAAAGGTAGGCTTTGAAAGAAAATCAAAATGGCGGGCCGGAAGTTTTGCTGTTTATAGCATAATTAATATCAATGTTCTCGGCATGATCCAAGGAATCTATCAAGATCTTGTCACGATAAAAGGACCCAGAAGCAAAGGCAAGTCAAACAGAGGATTTATTGTCCACAAAAACAAACTCAGGCAGTCTCCGGCGGTCACAGAACTGGGTATTAACACAGAAGAACTGGAACATAAGGGTTGACTTGACTTGAGAGTTCGGGGCGACACCCCGGTCTGCAGGGCGAGGAGCGACTACCTCTCGAACGGCTGGCAGCGGGTAACTGGGAGACTGGGCAGAAATCCAGGTAAGTAACACACGCAAGCGCTGATTGTGATTGTGAACAGCTGAGTCTAGGATAGCACAGCATGAAATAGAAAAGAAAACTAGAGTCAAACCCGGCTCATGACAGTACCCCTCCCCCGAGGAGCGCCCCCAGGCGCTCACGAGGAAGGAAACTGGCAAGAGTGACGGAAGTCCTCGATGAGCGAGCGGTCCAGAATGTGCCGTGCCGGGATCCAGCTTCTCTCCTCTGGGCCGTACCCCTTCCAATGAAAATATGAAAATGTTCCCCAATGAAAAAATGAGAATGTCGTCCAGGTACACGAAAACAAAGACATTGAGCATGTCCCTAAGGACATCGTTCACAAGCGCTTGGAAAACAGCTGGAGTGTTGATGAGCCCGAACGGTAGAAGCCGGTATTCAAAGTGGCCTAAGGGTGTATTGAAAGCTGTCTTTCACTCATATCCTTCATTGATGTGCACCAAAAGATACCCATTGCGAAGGTCTAACTTTGTGAAAATCCTTGCTCCCTGCAAGATCTCGAAGGCCGCGACATAAGTTCTTAACTGTTATGTCATTCAACCCACGATAATCTATGCAGCTTTTTCACGAAGAGAAACCCCGCGCCGGGAAGCAGCCCGGGAACGACTGAATACCGACTGAATAATGATCGTGGTACTCCTTCCGGACACCAGACGAATCGCCGGGTTCCTCCTGAAACACAGAAACAGAGGACACAACAGGCACAGCCGAGACAAGACCCTTAACATGACAAGATAAACTCCAAGACATTATGGTCCCCTCTACCCAGTTAATTTGGGGATTATGCTGAGTTAACCAGGGGTGCCCTAAGACAATAGGCGCTAGGGGGGAACGAAAAAAAAAATGAAATTGTCTCTTGGTGATTGCCGGAAACTGGACACCTTGGGGCAAAATGCCCCTGAGCACCACAATACATGCAGAGACCCCTGAGATACGGTCGAACACCTTTATCATCTCCTCCTTAAACAAAGAAAGGCGAGGAGCGACTACCTCTCAGACTGTACGGACCGGAGGAGAGCGAACTGCAAGCAGCGGGTAACTGGGAGACTGGGCAGAAATCCAGTTAAGTCCCACGACTTGACAACACAGGGCTGGATTCGACTAGATCACACCACAGACGGGATAGAGTAGCCAAGAGACTGACATCAAAGCACAATAATCTGGCAAAAGACCTCGTAACACGCAGAGAAAAATAGGAAGGAAAATCAGCAGAGGAGCGCTGATTGTGATCGTGAACAGCTGAGTCTAGGATAGCGCAGCACGAAATAGAAAAGAAAAGAAAACTACAGTCAAACCCGGCTCATGACAGATCTATCAAGTCTCTTGACAACAGGCAAAATTGATCAAGAGCTATTGGAATTTTTTTAAATCAGAATTTTTGACAACAAGGTGGCGCTGCCCCAAAACTTTTTGATCACCTTTAGAACATATCGAGTTTCACAACTATGCGATGTGTTCGTTAAATATAGCATTTCACACCAAAATTCAAAATGCACAAAATGGCTGACATGGAAAAGTTCGACTTCGTATGAGGCACTCAATCTTGTCATTTTTGGCCAAACCAATGAGAAGTTATAAACAAAATTAGCCATTTTTCATATCTTCTGTGCAGGTAACGCCATAGACTCAAACGAAGATGACTAACGATTACAATATTTACATACACACCTTTCGTGCTTGCCCTCTAATAATGATTAAGATGTATTGTAAGGTATATTGACAGGTGAATGAAAAAGCTCTTGTGTGATATTGCTTAATAATTTAAGCATGACTTTGCAGTTTTAATTACATATTTATGAAAAAAAAAACTTTATTTTAAGGTGTCCTTGATACACATTACATGTACTTACTATTATAATAACAATTAATTATGCATAATTACGTACAAGTAATGCTAACCATATAGTAAGTGCATGTAGTTAATTAATATTACTTAAATGTATAATTACACTGCAACAAGGACACCTTAAAATAAGGTGTAGCCAAAAACAAAATTAGTTCACTCAGCAGCCATACTTTTAATGTGCCCAAGTGGATATTACATGCAAGTACAGCTCTGAAATGTCTGTAAATGTCAAAAATACTTTTAAACAATTTTTTAAAACATAAATAAAGTATTAAATTAAATTAAATAATTATCCGTTTCTTTTCTTTTTTATTCATTTATGGACAAGTGAATCCTACTGCTGTTTTATCATTTACCAAACAACTAAATGCTTAATAAACTACAATGAAATGCCTCCTGGTTACAAAACATCATAACAACCACTATGACAACTATACGGCTAAACTATGAATATGTGTGTTCTGTCTTAATTTTGGGTATGTGCAACCACTATATTTAATTTGTGATCTAATTTTATCATTAATGCTGTTGAAGTGAATTTTGCTCCGTTATTATTATATACAGGTGTCCAGGATATCAGTGATCTATTTGCACAGAAACACACCCATCAATCCCTTCAGCTCTTGTAGCATGTCTGTGTGTGATTACCTCATAAAGCAATGCTTCCTTTATGGCCTCCTACAGGTGTTTGCTGGGCAGTGGGTGGATTTTGCCTCTAGGGTCAGTGAACAAAGTACATGTGAGACTGCACGACGACTGCCATTTTCATTGAATAAGAACCTCTTTTTTTTCTGTTTCTATATACATTACTAAATATTTTAATGTAAGAATACATCTATCTACGGTGTATGTGGAGTTACTGATGGATTACACTTGAGCTGTTTACTTTAATGGGTCGAATCCAACAGAACCGAAGTCTACATTTTGGGGGGAAAGGTAGAACCTTTTTGTTTTTGTATAAATAAAATCTAAATGTATTGCTATCGTGATCAATTCAAGCGGATGGGCAGTTTAACTATATTTACACCGTACAACTTTATTTTATTATATTAGCAGGTTGTAGTGAGGATTTTAGATGACTGAATTTAATGTAATCTAACCTACATTATATTAAGATGATAATATAATATGGTGATTTCTGTTGATCTGATGTGTATGTGAAGTTTGCGAACAGTCAGATCAGCTAAAATGGCTGCCGCCATGATCAGTTTGAGCTTGTGTTAGGAGGGCATACATTTTCAGTTTTGTTCTACTTTGACTTTAAACATTTAAGTTTTGAAGTATTACAAATTTGTTAAAGGAAGTGCAACCAAATTAGTATAACAATAGTATTGAATATATTTATAATATCATATTGTTCGGTGGATCAGTTTAATCTGAATATACTTTGTGTGAGATCATGAAATTGTGTTCGTCATATTACATTAGGAGCACATCAAAAAGGAATTCAATGTGGTTGTGTGCTTGACACAAACAAACTGCCAATCTTTCTCATTTTTTCTTAAGTGGGGAAAGGTGAAGTGATTAGTATTTGAGTCAATTCATACTATCTCTCCATGTCAAAGACACAGCCTTTCCCATTTTGTTCACACAGTGCTTTTACTGTAGAGGATTTGACATAACTGGCATTAAATGAAATTCAGAAAATCCACAGCTGATCCAATGGATGTCCTTGGAGAAAATGAGGCACTGCAGCAGTTTTTTAATGGTAAGAAACCTAAACAACATTCACTCGACTTACCTTACAGT